TAACCTAAAAAAATACCAATAGTTCCTCTTTTAGGATCTTATGCAATTCCTCTAGCCACAAAAGAACATTGTGTGTATGCACTTATATTATTTTTATATTTCCTTTACATGTGTTGGAACTCAAAGAACAGAATTGCATGAGTCAAATTAACGACCATCAGTGACTTCTACAAAAGCTGTCATTACTTTAAGATCACTGAGGGTGTAACCATAGAAAAACACTGATCGAAAGTCACTAAATCAGGAGTTGGGCATGGTGGTATGCACCTACCATCTGAGCACTCAGGAGGCAGAGGCAGGAGGATGGAGAGTTGAAGGACAGCCTGAACTAAATAGAAAGACCCTGTCTAAAAAAAGAAATTACTAATGTATAAAAGCTCAGGGACAAACCCACCCTGCCACCGCCAAAAGACAGAAAACTCCTTGACCACCTAAGTATGGCTACCTGAGAAACATCTAAAGCTTTTTATTTGGAAGCCATAGGGGGAAAGAATCTTATGATAACAAAGTCACCAAAATGCTCTATTTAGATAAACCACCTACTGTGAAAGTCAAAAGAGCTTGCCATCTCAAGTGAAGGATGGAACAAAGCAGTAAGAAGAAGCTATAAAGCACGCTGAGCCAATTTCCAGATTTCTAGCCCCTCAGTTTCCTTTGTCCAAATTCTTCTAGTATCTTTGAGGTCCCTTTCAAAATCAAGAAAAATGAGAAAATGCTAAACCCTTGAGGTTATTTGCTTTTCTTTTTTTCTTCTTGAATTAAAATCTTTACCCAAAGATTAGGGCAATGTTTGGTGAGTACTTGGGGAGTTGACAAGGGAGCAATCTTTAACATTGCATGCTTGGAGTTCTGGCCACACTGTGATGTCTGAGGTCCTCTGGAGAATAAGAACACACAGAGTCACGGGCTACTACAGAAACAGAGCCATCACTGGGCTTCTCAAGGGAGTGGGAATGCTCTCTGGGGACAAAATGTAGTCAATACATTGGTCCAAAAAAACATTAGGAAGCTGGGTACCACCAGTGGCTCATGCCTAGCTACTCAGGAGGCAGAGATCAGGGTGATCACAATCGAAAACCAGCCAGGGGAAATAGTTCCCGATACCCTATCTTGAAAATGCCCAACATAAAAAAGGGCTGGTGGAGTGGGTGAAGTGGTAGAGGGCCTGCCTAGCAAGGGTGAGGTCCTCAGTTCAAACCCTAGCACTGCCAAACAACAAAAAAACATTAAGAATACTGCTCTTTGCTGGGTGCAATGGAACACACCTGTGGTCCCAGCTACTCTGGAGTTTGACACAGGTGGGTCACTTGAATCCAGGATTTCCAAAGCAGCCTGGGCATCCCCATCTTAAAAACAAAACAACCCCCCCCCGCAAAAAAAACCTGAAAACTGCTTCTTCTTCCAAAATGCAAAAGATGACCTTTAAAAAGTCTACTTATTTTATTTTAAATGGAGAACATTTTCGTTCCCAGAGGCATTGAATACAATCTACAGTTAAGTAGTTTAAGGAGGTGAAAAATGTGGGTTTCCTACTTTGATCTGGTGGAAAGTTCCTGCATCGAAACATGCTATTTTAACTCTATAGATAATTTTACTTTATCTCTTTCCTCACTGCTCCCCACTCTGCTCCCTCAAAACACATAAAAAATAATCATTGAAAGGTTTAGCTAACAGAAAGCTTCATCCTAAAATGCTTTTCCTGGGTAAGGCAAAGACCACATATTTGTTAAATAGAATAAAATTGATTACTTATATATAAGTTGCTCTGCCTCCATCCCTTTCATCTTTATTCTCCTTATGCCTAGCAAGGAAATAGGTATTCAATAAAAGTTAATGAAGGTTGGTGGAGTGGCTCAAGTGGTAGAACACCTGCCTAGCAAATATGAAGCCCTGAGTTCAAACTCCAGTACTGTCAATGAATAAATAAGTACATAAATACATATATACAAATAAGTTAGTGAAAGTAAAAAAGATTCTTCCCCTCATGCAAGCTTTCTCATTTTTCTTATCCGAAGTCTTCCATGGAATATAAATCAGACTTCCTTCTTCATATTTAACTTATCACCTGGTTATTTGTCAGTTAATAGGAGAATGCAACAGTAACAAAAACATCTTCACTGCTAAGAGTTACTGCAAGTGACTTTTTATTAATAAAAAGCATATCCATTTATTAATGAAAGGTAAGAAGCTCCCAATTAAACCTAAGAGGATAATTTACTACAGACAGATGTGAAATACCTAAGAAGAAATGAATAGCTAATCCAAAAATCTAGATGATGGCAAGAATTAGAACTAAACCAGCAGAGACAGAGGAGACTTTAAAATCAGATCACCAGGGCTGGTCTCTCCTCCAAACCAAACCAATCTTTGCCTAGCATCCTCTCTCTCTACCTCCTCTGACTCCTTCCCCTTGGCAGTTCACAAGAAGGAAAAGAAAGCAAGATGAGCAAGAAGGACAAAAGATGACTACTTGAATGTGTGACCTGAGGCTCTGAGTAAAATTTTCTGGGACTAAAGAAAGAGACTGTGTCACAGTTATTGAAATATTGAAGTCCTCCTCTCTCCACAGTCTAAGCACACAGTGCAGACACTGCCAGGGACACTTCTTCTCCACTCTTCCAATTGCACTAGAATGTGTCATCATTATTCACCAAAGGTGGTGCTCACAATAGAAGAGAAATGGAGATCACTCTATAATTTGAAGAATTGAAAGCTCTTAAGCATGTTGAGATTTTCTCACTTAACCTTTAAGCTTCCCATTTAATTAAAAAAAAAATCTGTAATGCCAAGTGGCGGCAAGGTGTGAGGACTAGGGCTATAAAAATACACTGGTAGTGAGAATGCAAACTGGTACAACCACTTTGGAAAATGGTACCAAACAAAAGTGAACATAGGCCTTCCCTGTGATCTCTGTGGGCATAATCCTAACAGAAATGGGTGTTCACTTCCACAAAAAAATATGAAAAAGATGCTAAGCACCAGTGGCTCACACGTGTAATCTTAGCTATTCAGGAGGCAGAGATCAGGAGGATCACGGTTCAAAGCCAGCCTGGGCAAATAGTTCTCCAGACCTTATCTCAAAAATACCCAGTGGTTCACCTGGCAGAGGCACCTGCCTAGAAAGTGTGAGACCTGAGTTCAAATTCTATACCGACAAAAAACCCCATATACATCAAAAAGAATGTTCACAGTGGTGTTATTCTTAATTACACAAAATCAGAAATGACTTAAATGCTTAACAACAGAATAGATAAATAAATGGTAAAGGATCTTCATAGCAAGGAATAGCAAACAGCGATTAAAAAAAAAAAAAACATGCTACAGAGAACAAGGTTGACTACCATAAACACAATGTTGAGTTTTTACTTCTTTTGAAGCTGCACATAAAAGAGCTCTGGGGGATTAGCTCAGTGGTAAAGCACTTGCCCAGCATGCATTGGGGCTGGGTTCAACCCCCAGTGCCCGCGCACGCACGCGCGCACACACACACACACACATGACAATAATGGTTTGGTTTACATGAACTTAAAAAAACAGGCAAAAATAAAAGCAATCTATAGTATTAGAAGTCAGTCTTTGGGCTAGTATCAACTGAGGTGTGGTGGGAGGACTAGAGTCACTGTTAATATCTGTGCAGGCATACTTATTGTATGCCAATTACACTATAGTTAGAAAAATTTTGGAGTTAGATACAGGAACTTCCAAGACCTTTCTTAAAGATGAAAAAATTCAATGAAGTAAAACATATTTGCAAGTACTGATCTTTCACGGGCTCAATTGTGAGCTACATTCCCAGTCCCTGTTATGCTTTCAGAAAATGCACTAATATCATACATAACAAAAAGCTAACCTTTTGTATTAATAGAATCTGAAAAAATATCATACTATATATATGAAATGTACATATTTGCTAACTAGTAATGACAAATGTTTAAGTAAAATTTATGTTTTCTGCCTCTTTTCTCCTTATTTTACATTTTTTTCTGTGTAAGTATAAGTTGTATAAAATAAGCTACCGGATATAATTCCTGTATATCTATATTCCAAATATATCTATTTATCTCAGAGACCTCAAGTTAAAATTCTAGAATTTCGGAGCTGGAGGAGATGCAGCGTTATTGGGCGGATGAAGCTGCCAAAGCCGGGGTGGAGAGCACTGTTCCCAAGGTTGCAGCCCTAGGACAGAGACCGAGCTCCAGGACTCTGTCCCCTTTAATCTAAATTCGTTCCATCCCTCTCACATTTCCAAATAGGAAGCTGACGCGACCCAGATGGGAAGGGAACCTTTTATTATTATTATTTTCAAGCACAAGTATGCTACCCAGTAGATGATTTGGGAGGACAGTTCTGAGTCCTTGAAAATCCCATAGGGGTTTAATTCTAGGATATGAAGAGAATGTATAAGGAAGGGGCTGCTAGTGGTTTAATATGTAAATGCTGTTTGCATAATATTTGCAAAGTGACTTGTCGTTGATCCTACCGAAATCTGGCGGGGGTGGGGATCGTTATTGGGGATGATTCGCTTTGCGGGAGGATGCGGACACCTTCTCCCATCAGAGTTCACTACCTAAATCAAAACCTGAAAAGAAGAGTTCAAGACGCCCCTAGAAGTCTCGGGTAGGCAGGGGTCGGTCCAGGCGCAATCCCGACCACCTGGCGCCAGGCTCGCGGTCGCAGCGCGCACGGACAGCCCACCCAGCACCGGAGCGCGCGGGCCGAGCGGCCCCCGACCCCGCGCTCAACGGGGGCCGCGATCCTGAAGGAGGAGGTGGAGGAAGAGGAGGACAGCCGCCGGGTGGGCGAAGCCGGGCCGCGGGCAAGTTCTAGGCGAATCCGGAGGGCGCGAAAGAGGGGAGGGGCGCGGGAGGCAGCCGAGGAGCGAGCGTGGGGAGGAGCGAGGCGGCGGGGCCGGGGAGGCGCGCGCCCGGGCCCCGTGCGGAGAGGGGGGCGGAGGGGCGGAGGGGCGGCGGGGGGCTGCGAGCGGACGATCGGGGCCTTACCGAGCAGCGGCAGCCGGCCGCCGCGGCGCGCCAACGCCGGCATGGCCTCCGGAGCCCCGGGTCCCCAGGCCGCACCGGCCCAGCCCTACGCTGCCGCCCGGAGCGGAGGAGCGGCGCGTCCCGCGCTGCAGGTGGCTCGCTTAAGGATGCGCGTCACCGACCGCAAATTCCCTCCGACTGGTGCAAAGTGGAAGGGGGGGAGGAACCCTCTCCCCAGAGGCCGGGGCCGAGGCGGGAGCGGGAGGCTGGGCCGAGCCCCGGAGCCGGAGCCTGGCGCAGCGCTGCGGCCGAGCCCACGTGCCCGCCGCGGTCCGCAGCCGGCGCTCGCTCGGCGGCGCCCGGGGCTCCCCGAATGCGGCGGTGGAGATTGGGCGCGGTCCCGCCGGGGAAGTTGCTCGGGCTCCGCGGCCCTGGCAGCTCTGATGTCCCCGGGAGTCCCCGAGCCCTCTTCTTTGGATTCTGGAGCGTGGGGACAGCGGGGAACCGCAGACCTCCCTCCTCGCGCGCGGGGATCTTTGGGGCCCTAATAAGGGCGCTGAATCAGCGCCACAAGCTGGCGGCTCCTTGGGTCTCTCTCTTATTCCATGCTTGGAATAAGATCTTAATTGTGGGCTGATTTTTCTTTGGCTCCCCCTCCATCTCCCAGGATGCCCAGGACCCAGTCAGCCTCGGGATCCAGAACAGAGGCTAGGTTTCAGTGTCAACCAAAGCAATTACACAAAATAGAATACATCCCAAAGGGTGTGTTGAATTATCCAATATGTAGTTCTTGTTCTTCGTTGCGTAATATTTCGAGTTTTATTTTCTTTGTGTCAAGTTGAGGATTGGAAAACTCTCCACCCCAGTTCTGGTTTTCCCCTTAACAAAACCTTTTGACCTCCACAAAGCCATTTGTCCCGTAAGTCCCAATTTACTCCTGGTAAATGATGAGTGTGGATCAAATGGTTGGTTGTGTCTTTCCCAATTATAGGAATTCTATGCTCTTAATTCTTTTCTAATAAAGCATGAGTATTGAGAGTGGGGTTATTTTTGTTTATTTTGTTGTTTTGTTTTGTTAGAGACACAGCCTATGCAACCAAGACTGGCCTGTGACTCACTACATAGCTGGAATTACAGGCCTGCACCACCACATCAGGCAAAGATCTACGTTTTGTTTGTTTTTGGTAGTGCTGGGGATAGAACCCCAGGCTTTGCACATACAAAGCCTGTGCACTATCATTGAGCTTCATCCCCAGCCCCTGTGAGTGTTTAGTCTTGGCTATATATATATATATATATATATATATATATATAGATACAATCTACAGTAGAATCATTTTTCCCTCTAGGGAACGACAGAAACTTTAAATAAAGTATCTACCCTGGTGCAGTCACTATGGAAAACAGAGCAGTGGTTTCTCAAAATGTTTAAAAATCATATGACCCATGAATTCCACTTCTGGATATGTACACCCAAAAGACCTGACAGCAGAACTATGGAGAGATGCTGTAACATTCTGGTCCACATCAGCAGCAGAATTCACAATAGCAAGAATGGAAGCAACCCAGCTGTCCACCAAAGTGAGTGGATAGAGAAAATGGGATGTGTACATACATCTTTCAGCTTTGTAGAAGAAGCATATTCTGATACATGGTACAACTTGCATGAATCTTGAGGACGTTATGCCTGATACATGGTACAACTTGCATGAATTTTGAGGACATTATGCCTGATACATGGTACAACTTGCATGAATTTTGAGGACGTTATGCCTGAGACATGGTACAACTTGCATGAATCTTGAGGACGTTATGCTAAGTGAAATAAGCCAGTTACGAAAGGACAAATATTGGAGGATTCCATCAGTTGAGGTGGGTAGAGTAGTCAGATTCATAGAGCTAGAAAGTAGAATGATGGCTACCAGTGGCTAGGGAAAGGGGTATGGGGGAGTTATTTAATGGGTACAGAGTTTCAGCTTTACAAGATGAAGAGAGTTCTGGAGATTGATTGCAAAACAGCATGAATGTACTGAACTGTACACTTAAAAATGGATCGGGGGCTGGACACCTGTGGCTCATGCTAAGTGTCAGGAGGCAGAGATCAGAAGGATCAAGGTTCGAAGCCAGCCCAGGAAAATAGTTCACCAGACCCTATGTCGAAAAAACACATCACAAAAAGAGCTGCTGGAGCGGCTCAAGTTGTAGGTCCTGAGTTCAAGCCCCAGTACCACACACACACACACAAATGGATCGGGGGCATGGGACTGGGGCATATCTCAATAGGGTAGATTAATGTCTGTGTTTTACCACACTTAAATTCATGTATGTAGGTATTTATTTATTGTCAGTACTGGGGTTTGAACTCAGGGCTTCATGCTTGCTAGGTAGGCGCTTGAGCCATGCCTCCAGTTCACACACATAATTTTTTTTTTTTAGTGGTACTGAGGCTTTAACTCAGGGCCTTGTGCTTGCTAGACAGACACTCTACCACGAACCTGTCCTCCAGTCCATTTAAATTGTTTTTAAATTTTTTCCACCTAATTTTTTGTTATTATTGTTGTACTGGGGGTACACTGTGATATTTACAGAAGTTCTTACTTCCATCATTCTCCTTTATCCCTACCTAATTTTTTTTTTAATGCTAAGTGTCAGTTGGGCACCATGGTGCATTCCTGTAGTCCTAGCTACTCAGGAGGCTGAGACAGGAGATAGCTTGAGCCCAGGCATTTGAGGCTAACCTGATTGACCTAGTGAGACCTCATCTCTCAAAAAACATGTGAAGTGTCTACCTTAAGTCAGAAACAGACACTGGAGGAAGGAAGCTTGGAATGAGTTGGGCATGAGGAGATGAAGTAATGAGGCTAACTGGTAATGTGAACCTCCTAATTGCCAAGATCTAATGTATTGTCTTATATTTAGAGCTGGACCGGTGCATGTTTTAAAGGAAATTGATTACAAATTTCAAAATAGCAGTTGGGTGGACCACTGTTCAGGATGCAAAAATCATAAGGCTTTTTGTAAAGAATCTTAGACACAAGGCAGAGCCTTTCTATGAGAAGGGATGGGAAGAAAAAAGTTAGGAACAGTTTCTATGTACATTGGATTTTCCCAAGAGATTGGTGAGAGAAAGAATTCTAGAAAGAATAAATTTTATAGATTGAAATATTTTGGATTATGAGGGCTAGGCTAACAATTGAAAGGTGAGATAAGGCCCATCATACTTTGAGGTGTACTAAGAGTCAAATCAAATACATCTACTTTCTTCCTCATAGCAACACTAAGGAAAACAGCATGAGATATCCAGAGTCCCAGATCACACAAGCCAGTTGTGCATGCCCCAGGGTGAAATTTTGGTTCTGGAGCTGATGATAAGAATTCTTAAACCAGTGGATCATGCCTGTAATCCTAACTACTTGGGAGGCTGAGATTGGGAGGATCGAGGTTTGAGGCTAGCTTGGGCAAATTGTTTGTGAGACCCCATCTTCAAAATAACCAGACCAAAATGGACTTAGAAGTATGACTGAAGCTAGAGTGCCTGCTTTGCAAGCATGAAGCCCTGAGTTCTTAGGCTATTTTCCTCCCTGGAGGGTGCTGGATGTTCATTTTATTTAATTTATGGATTTTGTTTGTTTGTTTTTCCAACTTTGGGGATTGAACCCAGGTTCTTGCACATGCTAGGCAATCAGTTTGCTACTGAGATACACCCCAGCTCTATTTTTAGGGTTGTCTGATATATTTCACAACAAAAGAAAATTCAAAAGGAATTTCTACCTATGAGGTGGTCTTATACAAGCAAATACACAACAGTTGGGTCTTATTAAGATCCCAGATCCACAGGAAGCAGAGATCAGAAAGATTGTGGTTCAAAGCAAGCCTGGGCAAATAGTTTGCAAGACCCTTCACAAAAAGGGCTGCTGGAGTGGCTCAAGTTGTAGGCCCTGAATTCAAATCCCAGTACCACAAAAAAGAAAAAAAACCACAAGATCCCAGATCCAACTACCAACTTATAGGGAATACATGGGACAGTGGAACATATCACACACGGATACAACCAGAAAGTTTTAGACACTTTATAGGGCACTAGGACACTTTATAGGACAAACAATCTGATTTCTTCAGTTAAAATTTGGAAGAAAAAAATGAAATGAAAGAGGTAAGGGAGGAGAGAGAGAATGATGGTAGAGGAGTATTCTATAGATTAAAGAAACCTAAGAGATACATTGCACAATTGCAATGTAAGGATGTTATTTAGAGAAAAGTTCAAGGAAGCAAAGTGAAAAATTATAAAATAATCAGGAATATGTGACCACTGATTTATATTAAAAATTATTATATAAATCATGTTATGATACTGTTATGTATTTTTAAAGTAGTTCTTTCTAGACATGCATATGAAATGGGGGACATTGATGGGAAATAGAGACAGTTAATGGGTACAGGTTTATTTTTTAGGATGATAAAAAATATTCTAACATTAGACAGGTGCTGGTGGCTCACGCCTGAAATCCTAGCTACTCAGGAGGCAGCGATCAGCAGGATCATGCTTCAAAACCAGCCCCAGGCAAATAGTTCACGAGACCCTAGCTCAAAAAAACCCATCACAAAAAAAAAAAAAAAAGGGTTGGCTGAGTGTCTCAAGCGGTAAGAGCGCTGCCTACCAACTGTGAGGCCCTGAGTTAAAACCTCAGTGCTGCCCACCCCCCCCCCCAAAATTGTTACATTAATTATGGAGATGGTTTATAACTATGTAAGTATACTAACAGTCATTGACTGCTACATTAAATTAGTAAACTATATGCCATGTAAGTTAGAGCTCAACGAAAATGTTAAAAATGATATAAAAGTCAAAGTTTTTATTTAAAGTAATCTGGGAGCACGTACAGCAGAAGGGTGGCACTTGGCCACGTGTGGGCCTGAGTAGCTCAGCGGCAGAGCCCATCCTTAACTTGTGTGGAGCCTTTGCTTCATTCTCAGCACGCAAAGGAAAACAATTCTGTTGAATTGGAGCAACGGTCGCATATGTTCATTGTACTGTTCTTAGAAATTTTCTATAGGTTTTTAAAAAGGATTCTTAATGAGTGGACTTGTTTATTTGAAATAATGGATTATACATGCCGAATATGTGGAAGGTGCCTCTCCTCTTTTAGCCTTGTCAGCTGCGGTCCACTGTTGCTTTAC